GAAGAATTACTGGTAAAAATTGGTTTTATTAATGGAGGGATGCTTCATCCTCAAGAATTTGATAAATATCTTGAAACTAAACGAAAAGTTCGATCAAAATTTCACCGTGAAAAAGCCATTCAACTTTTTAAAGAATTAGATAAACTCTTACATTCAAAACCTGCTAAATATACACCACTTCATCGTCTTTCAGAACTTGAAACTTATCTTACACAATATAAGACATCCGTTGGAGCTCGTCCATTTATAAAGGGTTTATTACATGTTTTTAAATCTCAATTACACCAGTCCACACTCTCTTCATGGACTTTTTTAGATAATACTTTAACTCAAAATGGTATCGATTTTATGAGGGCTACAGTTAATTTATTAGTTAATGTATTAGGTTTCACGCATACGATTCAAGAAGCTGATGAAAGTGGGGAACAAGGTAGTCTTCGTACATGGTATATTAATAGTACGTTAAGTGATTTCGAAATTTCATCTCTTATTAAAGCATTTCCAAAAGAAAATTTTCTTCGTAATGTTAGATCGACAGGTTCAATAGAATTATCTTCTCAACAACGTTCACCAAATTTAATTAAAACTTCAAAAAGAAATGTTATTGGAAAATTTTTTTTGTTTTGGTGGAATCTGTTAAGATGGTTATTTAGTTTTTGTTGTGGAATGATTAAATCTAGAAAAGTTAAGGATGATACATTACCTGATATTTAAAGTTTTCTCATAGATTAACACAAACTATTTAATTTTAAAAATATTTTAAAACTAATCAAATTTATTCAATTAATTTTTTTTACTTTAAATTCTAATTTAAATTCGTGCTAGTTCTGTAGTTAGTAGAGATTTAAATTCTTATTTAATGTATAACAGATATATTATTTAATTTTATTAAAATAACTTGAAAATAAAAATATCTACGTTTTTTTAAAGTATATTCTGTTCTCACCATTTGTATCCGAATTTCACATACGATCTATAGGACTACTAACCTTATAACATCACATGATTTAAATTGCCCAATTATATATTCAGAAGAATATTCGCGATTAGTTACGCGTTACAATAAATCTTATATATATAACATCTATCTGATTACTAACGCCCTTTTTTACCTTTGCTTATCTTTGCTTATCTAACTTTACTTACTTTTGCTTAACTTTGCTTGCTTTTCAGCTTTTTACTTTTTCTTTTAGGCCTTCGCGTACCTGCTTTGAATGATGCACGTTGTTTACGGTTTGATACATCTCTTTGCTTAACTTTACTTACTTTTGCTTAACTTTGCTTGCTTTTCAGCTTTTTACTTTTTCTTTTAGGCCTTCGCGTACCTGCTTTGAATGATGCACGTTGTTTACGGTTTGATACATCTCTTTGCTTAACTTTACTTACTTTTGCTTAACTTTGCTTGCTTTTCAGCTTTTTACTTTTTCTTTTAGGCTTCCACGCACCTGCTTTGAATGATGCACGTTGGTTACGGTTTGATACATCTTTTTTTTTATTTTTTCTAGGTTAGGTTTACGGGTTTCTTTTTCTTTTCTTTCGCATACTTTAAGACGTGTTTGGTAATATCTTTCCGTTTTGCATGTTCAAACTTATATATAGTAATTTGACTAATTGAATTTCTACTACACAGGGACCTAGCCAAAGGATATGCCTCTACGTGGCGGCTAGGATGAGTAGGCTCAATAGCTGAAACTAAATATCCTGTGTTTTTAAATAAAATGATAAGAACGAAAGATGAAAATAACGAGACTACTGCGAAACAAAAGTGAAGAAGCCCTGATGGAAGACGAAACCAGTTTGCCAGATAAGATCTTGAAGTTTTTTTTTTTTAAAAAAAAAACTAACTTTCCATTATCAAGCATATTAAAATATCATCTAATATTCATTTATGTTTATATTAGGTCAATCCATATATATATCTTGATACTATTACCAAACAATTATTCATTTGCTAAAAAAATTGTGATACATGTACAAGAAAATAGATTGGTGATACTGATGATAAATTATTTGAAAGCCAATTTCTCTTCGTATGTTAGCTATGGTCACGATGTATTTTGAGAGAATCCTTTTAAAAGCTCTATTAGGAATAATACGCTAATAATCATAAATTTTTTTTGTTTTTTTTGCACTATTAGGATCGATACAGCCGATCTATAAGAAGTATTTTTACAGTAATGTGTAAGTAAATATATTAATTTATCGATATTACTGTGTTGAACACGAAAAATTTCATACAAAGCCGTGAATAAAACATACTTTGGTTTGACAAATACTGTTAGAGTGCTAATATACACTATTTGGCAGTACGCGTTTGTGTGCATTAAGACTTCTTGAATTATTATACTGTATTTGTATGTTCTTTCTTTGGAATATTTAAAAAGGATAATAATATATTATATAAAATTTACCCAAAATTAGTTTAACTTTAAAAATAAACATCTTATAGTTGAAAGATTTTAAAACCAAAAAAATTTCGAACCTGCCAATGGGCTTTTAAGAGTTTTCCAAATATTTTTGTATCAATTTTCTTTAAAAATTCGCATGAACACTTTAATTTTGGCATGAAGATTCTCTTATTTTACCAAATCAATTTCTTCTTCACGTTCAAACATCCGAATAATCTTGAAATATTGAAGAAATTTCAGTTGTTAACTTGTTGTTCCAAAAAAGCTCATTTAAGTCTAGTAAGAATAAAAGGAATTCTGTGTAATAACGATAAGTTTAGTTAAAGAATGTAATTAACTTGTGAAATAAGAGAACCTTGAATCATTCTCGTCGAACACATTATTCTCTTTTTTCAAACATGAAAATTTTTGCATCACAAATGTGATTGAATGTATAAATTGGCCTACTCTATCCAAATATCATATATTTTAAAGTTAAAATCATTTGAAAATAAGTGGGAGCTTAAAAAATCGAATTTGTGATTACGAATTGTGAAATTTTATATATTGTACATTTATTTCAAAGAAAAATACTAATGTTGTTAGCCGAAATTGTTTTGAGCTTGTAGAAATTATGCCGAAATGTCTAAATTAAAAAAATATACAAACCTACTTTGCTAAAATCTTACATTTTTGCGAAAGCATCAAAATATTCTAGATTTGGTGTAAATGATTAATAATATAGGTCGCTAAGAGGAAATTTTCATAGTAAATCACAAATTTGGTTTCTTACTAGCACTATTAACGAGGTTTTTTGAACAAACTACTGATTTTTTGTGTTTTGTCAAAAAACCTCGTTAATAGTGCTAGTAAGAAACTAAATTTGCGATTTACTATGAAAATTTCCTCTTAGCGACCTATATTATTAATCATTTACACCAAATCTAAAATATTTTGATGCTTTCGCAAAAATGTAAGATTTTTGTAAAGTATTTATTTAGTCAACTATTTAGGCATTTAGTCAAATTTAGGATTTTGATATTTCGACAAAAAATAATACCTTGTCGAAATATATTTCACTGAAATAGAACTTGCATTGTAGATTTGCTATCGCTATCGCTATGCATAATTTGTTAACCATTTATAGCGCAAATGATGATGATAGTGGAAATCTCCGAAATTCTAGATCATATTTTCCATCAAAATCTACCGCAGACGTATGGTTATGTCTAATTGACGTGTCATCAATCAAATCAAAAGTTACGTCCAAATGCTTCAAATGGACATTTTCAACCCCCCCAACGTCACCAACCTAAAAAATTTCGCTATCTGAAATTCAATTTTCTAGGGTGGTGAAGCTCATCCCAGTTACAATAAAAATTACATGTTACAGCCCAAGCTTAGCAAAACATGGTTGATCAACAAAAATTCTGATTTGGATAAAATTATTTAATGTAAATACCTATATTGTCAAAATCACTTCTAATACGTATAAAATTCCATCTTTTAAATAGAAATAACTGACCAATAAAAACGAACTTCACTCATGTATAAGTTAATTTTTATTGGTCAAAAATCACATTAATCTTAAAAATTTTGGATCAGGTTATTCAAAATGAATCACGAGACATAGGAAAATTATATAAACCCTCTTGTTCTTTAATTTGCTCGAGAATTATTTGCAAAATGTCTCTTCCACCTTGGTTTGTCGATGACGCCAGCTGCGGAACATCAAATCCTATTTCAGGTCTAATGAAACAGTTCGTGCAGGACAAGTCTTTGCAACGGGTAAACCTTTTTGTGTCTATAATTTATTTTTTGTTGTATTTTTTTACTCAAAATTTTCTTGATTGTGTAGGATAGGTTTGGCTATGATCAAATAAATGAAGGCTCTTCCAAAAGAGTGAGACATAAGATTGAAATTTTTTTCTTTTCTTAAACGTTCAACAATTATATATATACTTTATTTTATTTTAGACTTTTAGGACACGCTCGGAATTAGACATACATGAGCATGAGGTATAGGGTTATGATTAATGTATTTTCGGTTCATTGTATACATTAAGCTTGGCTTTTGTTATTTTAGTATGAAAAATTTTTCAATCAACCGGATCGCGAACCTGGCGTTTATGATCTAAATCAAATGGATAGGGAACTTCAAACTATTATGCACAATACACAAAACAACGAGAAATGGGTTCATGATTTTTTAAATCAACCTAATTTATTAAATAATGATCTATTAAATCAAAATGTTGAATTTGAAAAAATTTTTAATAATACTAATGTTCAAGGTACTTAAAAATGTAAATTTTGACTTTTGTAATTTAAAATATTTAATTATTTTTTATATAGATGAATGGATCAATAAGTATCTATCTACTGATCAAATTCCTAGCAAGTTACACCCTGATGAATATACAGCATTTGAAAAAGCTTTCAATGATGTTAATAAAAGTAAGAATCATTTTAATTTTTTTCTTTCCCGATTAAATTCGTTCATGTGCTTATTAAACCTATATTATTATTATTATTATTATTATTATTATTATTTTGAAATAGACGTGAATTGGGAATCAGAGTTTAATGCCCAAGAAGAAAAATTATGGGCAAATGAATTTAAACAACAAAATGATAATGAATTAAACAATACTAATGCAAAAGCGGAATTATCTAAGACCGCTGGAAAATTAATCGAATCAGTAAAGGACGAGACAAATCCGAAATTTAAGAATTCGTCCTTTATGAAATTTATGAAGCAATTGCGTGATAATGAAGTTTCAATAGAAGGAAACAAAGTTGTTGAGCAAAAATCCCCTGTATCTAATGGCGATATTGAAGAAGATTGGGGTGAACTACAAAAAGACTATGATAATTATGAACCTTATAGTATGGGATATAAGCTTGCAGTTAGTGAATAACTTTGAGGTAGAACCCTTAACTAAACAATGACTAACGGTTACATATCATAGCTGTACTCAGGGATATAAAAATATTTGATCAAAACTTTTTTTTAAAATAAATTTAATATAATTTAATTTCTTAATGCTTGTCAAAATTTTTTTTTAATAAAGCTATTTAAATTTAGATATTTTAATATTGAAAACATTAGGAAAAGAACTTATGAATAAAAAAATATAAAAAACAAAATATTTTAAGGAAAAATCTAAACAGTACATTTTTATACTTTATTTTTTATTTTTTATTTTTTTTGTTAAGACTATTTTTTTGGCCAATTAGATTTTATTAGTTTGTTATTACAGAACTATCACACGAATAGTTTCCTAAGGTTTTATAGTTATATGATAAGTGTACAACAAGCCACATGTACAATTTTAGTTATTATCTAATTTAAATAGTTTGCTATACAGATAATTGATCATCTGTTGGTTCTACACTATGTTACTATACTTGTAACTTGCTTGTGAGTTACCTATTTAAACATTTTAATTATTAATCTTTCCTTCTATCTCAAACTAACATTATTACTATATCTGATCACTTAAGCTAGCTGACTTACATATAGATCTATTTACTGTATAGCTTAGATCTTATTAAGATACATATTGTCTAACATATTGTGAACATGCAAAACTCTAATTAACCTCAGAAATAATTTCTACCAGAGTGGTTATATGTCTATTTTATAGATTTACTTGGATTAGACCCTTGTTGATATTTATATGAACTTAGTTTTTGTTATAATTCTCTATTAAATATAGTTCTCTAAGTTCTAACTAAATGTTTTATGAAGTAGATCTTCTCAATCTAGTTAGCTACTAAGTCAAGTTGGTGTTGTTACTAATATAAGACATCAGATTGTATTATATAGCAGACTTACTTACATCTATTGATCTTATATCCTTTGTACTTAGATTTTTCACTGGATCAAGTATTAATTAGCTTGACTATTAAAATTTATACTACTTAACTAAACTTGGAATTTCTATTATGCAAGTCTTCTGCTTATAAATTCTATCAAGATTTATTCATGCAATATAACTTAAATATTACATCATACTTTCAATATCTAATTGATATTAGTGTAATATAATTTAAAGGGTTGTAACCCTCAGAAATAAACAGAGTTTATTATAAGTTAGATACAAAGGTTTGAGTAATTATTCAAATTTGTTGATAGTAGAATTTGAATTTTAGACCACTTTTATACTTTATTATTTTATAATAAAATTAAATATATAAGAAATTAGATTAGTTTAAGTTAGAATTAGAATTAGAATTAAGGTTAGAATTAATGTATAGTAAAATTGTAAGAAAAATATTTTTTCTTAGTTATACAACAAAGATTATTTTAGTAAAATTTTAAGATATTATAAAAAGTTTAAAAAATAGTATTAGAGTTAGTTTATAAGTAGAATTAGAGTTAAGGTTAGAATTAAAGTATAGTAAAATTATAACAAAAATATTTTGTTTAGTGATATAACAAAGATTATTTTAGTAAAATTTTTAGTTATTATAAAAAAAACACAAAAAGTATATTGTATTATTTAGTCTTTTTTAAAAAATAAAATAAAAAATAATATTTTACTCTTAAAATTCTATATAAAAATTATATATTTATAATTAGAAATTGTATAAAAAAGATCTGATGATCTTAGTGTAGTGGTTAGGTTGTCAGACCACTATGTAAGAAGTCTGAGATTTAAATCTCACTGTTGACAAATTTGAATAATTACTTAAACTTTTATATTTAACTTATAGTAAACTCTGTTCGTTTCTAGGAGTTGTAATCCTGTAAATTATGTTGTACCAATATTAATCAGATATTAGAAGTACAATACAATGTTCGAGTTATATTGCATGAATAAATCTTGATAAGATCTATAGACAAAGGATCCGTATAGTAGAAATCTCAAATTAGATTAAGTAATGCAAATTTCAATGATCACACTGATTAATACTTGATCCAAAAAAGAAGTTTGTGTATGAAAGTTGCAGATCAAGCAGGTGCGAATAAGTTTACTGTATAACACAGCCTGGTACCTTGTATTAGTGACAACACCAACTTGGCTTGGCAGTTAACTAGATTTGAGAAGATCTAATTTGTGAAACTTCTAAATATATAGAAGACTAATTTGGTAGAGAGCTATGATAGGAACTGGGTTTGTATAATATCTGTAAGGGTATATGCTAGCTTAATTGGGATATAGTACAGTATAGTTGGGGTATTTTGCAGGCTTCTCCTGATGAGAATAAAAAGGTACCTTGAGATAGAGCCTTCCTAATAAGAGAAACTGAAGTACAAGATCAGTCTGAGTAGTCTTTATTAAGGCAGCACAAGATTGTGTAGATTTAAGAATAAAAATTGAGTTAGTATTAGAGATGACGAGGATACCAGAGGGTTTAAATAGAGTATCTACAAATAGATACTAGATATAGCAATTAGTAGGTAATCTCTAAGTGAAACCTTTAAATAAATAATAATTAAAGTTGTATGTGTGACTAATTGTACTCTCACTAACTAATGTAAACCTACAACCTACTTAATAAAAAATTAACAGGCATCAAGGCCTAGTTGGACCAATAAAAAAAAAAAAATAAAAAAATTATATAAAAATAGCTATTATAATATATTTCTAATATTAAATAATTTTTGAATTAAATATATTTTGTATAGATTCAGTGATCTTAATATAGTAGTTAAATTGTTAGACTATTATATAAAAGATCTGGAGTTCAAATCTCACTGTTAACAAATTTGAATAATTATTCAGACCTTTGTATCTAACTTACAGTAAACTCTGTCTGTTTTTGAGAGTTGTAACATTATAAATCATATTATACTAATGTCAATTAGATATTAGAAGTGTGATACAATATTTAAGTTATATTATACAAATAAATCTTGATAGGATTTATAAGCAGGAGACCTACATAGTAGAAATCCTGAATTAGATAAAGTAGAATAGATTTCAACAGTCATACTAGTTAACATTTGATCTAGAAAAGAAATTTGTATACAAAAGATATAGATTAAGTAGATGCAAATAAGTTTGCTATATAATACAACTTAGTATCTTGTATTAGTAGCAATACCAACTTGGCTTAGTAGCTAACTAGATTTAGGAGAATCTGTTTTATAAAATATCTGAATATATAGAGAACTAATCTGATAAAGAGCTACAGTAAAAACTAGGTTTGTATAAATATCTATAAAGGTATATACTAGCTTAATTGAGATATAGTATAGTATAGTTGAGATATTCTGTAAACCTCTTCTGAAGAAGACAAAAGGATACTTTGAGATAGGGCTCTTTCTAATAAGGAAATCTGAAGTGCAAACTAGTCTGAGTGGTTCTCAATAAAGTAGTACAAAATTGTATAAGTTTAAGAATAAAATTAAGTTAACAATTAAAAATAACTAAGATATCAGAGAGTTTAAAATAAAGTAACTACTGTTACAGATAGCGTAGCCTTCTTAGTACACTATAAGTAACAGCAATACAGCTATCTAATTACTTTAAGAAGCAGTGTCTAAGAGGGAAGTTTCTTTAATAAATTATAAAGACAAGTTCCACTCTCCAAGAGGTAGTTCATTTAGGTTTATTTAATAACAATATATTTATTAATTATAAATATTTAGAGTCAAGTACAAGAGAGGAGAGAGAGTTGAGGTCTAAACAACTAAAGAGCAAGTGGGGAATTCTACTTGTATTTATAACTTTTAGCAAGTGTCATATAAGCATTAGCAAAGTGTTATGTAAGTGATTTATACAAGCGTCACTTAAGCATTCATGCAAGTGACAGTTAAACGTCACTATTAATAGTTTGGCACAGTACTTAGCACAGTTCAGTACAGTCTGGTACAGTCTTTTGGCATAGTCTAGTACAGTATTGACACAGTATTTGGTGCAGTTTTGGCGCAGTATTTGGCAAAGTATTCAGCACAGTTCAGCACAGTATTTGGTACAGTCCAGCACAGTTTTAGTACAGTATTTTCTTGCTATAGCCTATGTTTTCTTCAGATGTTATATAATAACTTCGGATATAACTTATATAATCATATAGCTAATATTCTTGGCTACAAGGTTACTTAAGGGTATTTTTCGCTATAATCACTTCTTAAGGTACTTCACTTAGAGATGAATGTTTACAATAATTTTCTCTATTCTAAAATATCTATATCAAAATAATACAATATAAGAAATAACTAAATACTAATAAATGCAACTAATAATATAACTAAAATATAATAATAAAATAATAATAAAATAACTAAAATCTATTCTATAACAATGCTATATAAACTATGAAAACAACTAGTTCTAGTTGTTTAAAAAAGAAGTGTAACTCTAATAAGTAGCTACTATATTTTATAATTTACTTTATATAATTTGACCATTTCTTGCTAACTATTATACCTACTCCTGAGCTCTTGCTTTTGCCTTTTTCTATATTGGTCTAAAAGCTATTTATATTTTCTTAATTACTTATTATATAGTGGTCCTCTTTTTTAGAAATATTCATTTCTATTATTTCTACTATATCATAATTTTCTTTTATAAATTTGTCTATTAGTATTTCTAGTTTGTATCTATTACCTTTTAATCTATTTATATTATAAGCTACTATTTTGATACTTTTTCTAATCTCTTATATACTTATATTTTTCCTATTCATTCTCAAGCTTTTTTCTATATAGTTTGTTTCTTGCTTTGCCTTATTCTACTATACAAGTTTTTTTTTTTGTACATACAAGGCTTCTTTTAATTCAACTAATATGAAAATTAGAAGTGATTTAGGTACTTTATCTTCAAATCTCTAATTTTTCTCTTCAAATTTTATATTAATTAAGCTATATAAGTTAAGGATCTGTTGTAATTTCTATAATAGTTTTGCCTATTTAATTTTTTTCTTTTGTTACTTTTTATTTTCTTTTAGAAGCTACTTTTCTTTTCTA